GCTCTAGGAGCCAATCATTGCATATCTACATAGCTTCATTATAGGTGACTTATAGTTTATTTTAGAACTGAGTTAAGTTTACCTATAAATAAAAATCAGTCTTAATCGTACCCTTAACCCTTTTAATACGAGCATTCCGGATAATCCGGAACTTAGTTTTAGAGGTGAAAGCGTTCAGGACTCTCCGCTACAGATCCTCCATGCTCGAAATCCGCATATAGCTTTTTGTATATGATAATGTTTAGCAGGACAACTGTAGCGTCCTTCGTGCGATGAGACATGAGATTTTCGGGAAGCGGGTAGGGTCTCGCGTATAAGAATTTGTGGGAGCTGCCAGCCGTTCATTCCAAGACTCGCGCCGAAGGGAAGACATTCACTCTGCAATGGAAGCGTTCATCGATCCCAAGACCTTCCAAGTACTCTGGTTCAGACTCAGGAAGAAAGGGTGGACATTCCGCAAGTCTACAGGCCAAAGCAACCGCCAGCGTTACCTGCCACCGGGGGAGGTTACAGGGGACTGAAGGGGTCGACTTCTTTGTCGGTACGCGGCATCGTGTTGTTTCACTACAGTAACGTTTTCCTAACATCGTATCAATGAAGGGGAGGAGAGCTTGGTGAAGCATTGCAAGCAACAGGGCTGGTTTCCTGATCTGCTGGGTTTGCCTCCGGGTCTCTCTCTCCAGTTGACCCCAACACGCTCAACGCTCGTCGACTCGACGCCCGACGATTCGATGCCCCCGAGCGTGACGCCGGCCGACCCAAAGCCGCAGCGTCCGATGCCCGACGCCCCGACGCCTCCACTCGTGGAGCCTGCCGGTCTGACACCACCGCTCAATGATAGTGCCATACCACCAGCACCAAGTATGGCGCCTCCGGTTCCAGTACGTCATCCGACAGGTGTTGAAGCAAAGACTTCCAAACGTATGCCGCGGCGTGCAGGGAAAGCAACACCCCAAGTCGTCCTACAGCCATTGAACCAGCCAAGTGTGCGTACCAGTGCGTCAGCAGCATCCTCAATCGGAAGACCTGCAGCAACGGCAAGGCGTAGCTCTGCAACCTCACGTTCATCCGCGAAAAAGCGTCGGACTGGTAAGCCAAGAACATTTCTGCAGCAAGCGTGTTTTGACTAACGATGATGTTACGAATTGTGCAGCTCAAGTTATTCCGGATAGTACTGCAGGTGTTCCGGAGATGACCGATCAGCATATTCCGAATCAGGCGGCTACTACGGAGGAGACTGAAGACGCTGTTCCGGATGGTCCTGATTCGGTCATGGGCAATACGGAACGTGCTGTTACGAAAGCACGTAACATATTGGTGTCTGCGAGGAGTGTTCTTGACCACGATCGCGGTAATGGCGTTTCGCTTGATGACTTCGACTCTGACAATTTCTTGGAGGCACTTAGGCGTAATCGGATCTTTGAAGGAAATGATCCAGATGACCTCAATGTTGGAGTTGACGACTGGCTGCTCGCACTGGATTCCGACGTTGAAGGTGACGAGGAGTCCATTCTTCTGGACGAGGACAATAGTGAAGATGAAGACGAAAGTGAAGCTGACGTATCGGATACTGTAAGTAACGATGAGAGCGTGGAAGACTTTGCTGGCGTGGATGATGACGTGCCCGTGGAGTTCGATCTAGCAGAAGCGGATTTGAAAAGACTGCAAGCCGAGGAATGGGACGCACTCATGGAGGATGACTCTGGTCGACTACACCTTGACCATGCATCTCGGTACGACGGACCGTACGGCCCAACACGCGCTGCCATGGCTTACGCTACAAGTCCGCTTGCCATGTTCTATTTTTTCCTACCCAAAGAGTTGTGGCGCAAGATTGCTGAGGAAACGAACCGGTATCGGCTGGAGAGTATCCATGAGATAGGCGAAGGTATGCGTGAACGAGCGGTACAGAAGCGACAAACTGTTCCATCGACTATCATGTACACCGTGGATGAATACAAGGCTAAGTTGCGTCGAAAGTGCCCCATACTGCCCCATGAAATTGTTCGGTTCATCGGTCTTCTCATCGCACGAACATTGGAACCGCGGCGCAAGAGTCTAAGCCGCCACTGGATTACCAAGTGGAAGGAGCTCTCTCACGTGGCACGTTCGGGCAATTCATTAGCCGTGATCGCTTCCACGACATCGTGAAGTACTTGCATTTCAACGACAATGCTGGACAACCAGAGAGTGCCGATCGTGCTTTCAAAATTCGGCCGGTTCTTCAAGCAATTCAGAAGACTTTCTTCCGAGGCTATCGCCGTGGCGCTCGCATCTCATTTGACGAAGGAATGGTTCCAATGTGGCATCGGCGCAACCCCATGCGCCAATACATGTCAGCGAAGCCAAACAAGTGGGGAGCAAAATTCTACACGGCCTGCTGTGCCGAAACCGCTTATTGTGCAAGGTCCGTAGTCCTATTACGGATCTATGATTTTCTTTTACAACGGAGTGTCCGTTATTTGCCCGGGATGTTCCGTGATACGAGGTTGGCTTATTCAGGAGATGACTAACTGCGGTGTGTGCGTGTGTGTAGGCTGGAAATCTATTGCGGTAAGGCCAACAAGGACGAGGATGCAGTCGCTCAACGAGCAGTGGTGCAGAATCGCACACACGTCCTGCGTGGACAACCAGCTCAGCGACTGATATGCACGGACAACTTTAATACTTCCATTCCTCTATCGCACAAGCTGCTGCGTATGGGTCATTACCACATTGGTACTATTCGCAAGTATAGGAAAGGTTGGTGCCGCCAGATTGAGTTCACGCAAAAACGAAGGCCCAAACGCATGGCTCGCGGAACGTATAAGATTGCTTCGTGGAGGGGCCATCCAGAGTTTGTTGCTTTGGTTTAGATGGACAATAAGCCCGTTCGATTTCTGGCTACCGGCTCCTCTACTCGGCTCACTGATGTGTCTCGCCGTGAACCCGATGGATCTATCTCTTGCGTGCCTTGCCCACAGCTCGTGCGAGACTACCACGAAGGTATGGGCGGTGTCGATGTCTACTATCAGCTCAGGCTCCAGCGCTACTCGATTCAGCGGTCGATCAGAATGCGCAAGTACTACAAAACTATTTTCCTGGGCTTGGTGGATATTGCGCTTGTCAACGCGTTTATAGTGCACAAGCTGACCATGAAGAAGAAATGGTTGTCTGTACCGACACACGCTGCATTCATGCGGCGGCTTTACGTTAATTTACTCAACGAGACGAGCGTGGACCTCATGGGTGGTGACGAACTG